ATTACCCAATTATATGCTCGTACGCACTCTACGGTCTGTCACAATTATGATTATGCAGTTCCAGTGCGAGTGTATGCGCAGGCAGTTATGGGAATATAAATGTGCTCTTAAAAGAAGTTAATAATATACCACATCCTAGCACATCTTCCAGCTTCAGAGAGCGTCCAACTCAGGAAGATCTTTCAAGGCGTTTTCTAATATGTTTACACCCTCTAGCATTACACCCTCGTCGATGTTCAGAGCTGGACATACTCGCAATCGTCTCCCTGTGGCATTCACCAACAAACCCCTTTTCAGGCACAGCTCCGCTAGTCTCTTACCAGTCACTCGCCCCTGTGATTGGCCTTCGTGGATGTAGATGCTTCTAAACAGGCCCTTCCCAGTGATTGTATCAAAATACGGCGACTTGATTGCTCGGAACCGTGCCTCAAATTTTGCGCCCAAGTCAGCGGCCCGCCTTGGAAGTTCTTCGTCAACAATGACATCGAGGGCAGCAAGTGCTACAGCACTGGCCAAAGGATTTCCAGAAAATGTTGATCCATATCTGAAACATTTCACGTCAGCGTCTGTATGGGCATCACGACGATGGGACGAATTCGATGTCGTTAAGTGAGACTCTAGGGCAACTTACTGGCCTGGGTCAACACTATCCATAACCTCTCGCGTTCCCAGGACGGCAGATATAGGATAAAATCCACCAGACAGCGACTTTCCTAGAATGACCATGTCAGGCTTGATACCCGATGACTCGTACGATAGAAGAGTGCCACTACGACCAAGACCTCCCTGAATGTCGTCGGCAATGAATAGAACATTATGCCGGGTGCATAAATCTCTTACTCGTCTAAGATAGTCGTCCGTAGCAGGTAGGCACCCAGCGTGACCCTGTACGGGTTCGATCAAAAAGGCAGCAATCTGAGGTCCGCATTTCTGCAGTGCCTTTTCCAGATCCTCGATCACCCCGAACCGAATAATATCACCGGTGCAAGATGGACCGACGTTTGGCATCCAAGGGCCACAATCTAAAAAAGGTCAATACCATGATAGTCGATTATTAGATTAAGAGGAAGCCAGCACTTACTCTTCCTGTATCCGTCATCGGTGGATGCTGATAAGATGCTCAGCGTCCGACCATGGTAATTAGAAATCGCCGTCAATACGATGGCTTTGTCCTGCTCAATTCCCTTGACTTTGTAGCCCCATGACCGAGCAAGCTTGATAGCCATATCAACAGCTTCAGCACCTCCGTTCATTGCGGCAACTTTGTCGAAGCCGGTCAGTTCGCAGATATTTTTGCAAAACATGGCATACTGTGCGACATGCACAGACCGTGACGGCATGGTCAACTGCTGGCATTGTTTTATCATGGCCTCAACAATCTTTGGATGACAATGTCCCTGGTTACATGCAGAAAATCCGGCATTAAAGTCGATATACCGTCTTCCTTCTAGATCCCACAGGAAAGAGCCCTGGCCTCGCGCCATCACGACAGGGTGTGATGGCATACCCTCAACACTGTACAAAGAATCATATTGCAAGTACTCTTCGGTGGAAAGTTGTTGCTGATTTGTTAAAGATGCACTTTGTGGCTTGAATCCTGTGGAAGTCGTCGATAAAGTGCCTGTAGGTAGCACGGGAGACCCAACTACTGTCGATGAAGGGAGGGTTATGGTAGCCATGCTAAGAGTGTGAGCTGTAAAACTTTCCCACTTGCTTGAGAACAAAGGCTTGAGACTTCAAAATGGGAAGAGTAGAATGCCTGTTAATAAATTGGACATGGTTGTGCCACAGTATGTTACACCAGTGCAGACGTAATATTCATCGATTCTACAATAAGATCAATTGAGTCTATTTTTATCGTGCCCACATATCAGTCTAGTCTAAGTTGTCAGTCTTGTAGTTCTTGCTAGATTCATTACGATGCCGAATTTGGCATGCCGACTCGAACTCTATGTAGAACACTCGGTCCCTGCCGCGGTCACACCTATGTTGGCACCATCAGATAATCCACTGCGGATATCTGCGCGGGGCACCTTATCTCGCAAGATATCGATACGGCGCAGCAGCATCTTGTCATTGTTGGTAGGGTATATTCTCGGACCGAACCCAACGCTACTGTTATCTATCCGCCCCAGGCCGGTGATCAACGACACTTTTACCCCTCTCAGTACTGACGAGACGCGGTGTGCATGAAAGCCAAGCCTCGGTCGCTAAGAGGCTAAGATAAAGGATTGTAGTTGTATCGGCTCTCCTGGTTGTCGCCCTAACTTAACCCGGTGCTGCGAAACGCGGGGAGCATCGATTCATTGCTGCATAACCTTGCACCGGTATGTCCGTTACAACCCATCTGTCATCACTAGATTCTCGCGCTGCACTCAGTGATTGCGGAAAGCATATCGGTTATTTACATCACTCAGCCATTTGTAGATCGTAGAGCTCCTTGACAAATGTCGCAACATTTTAATGCAACATGGGGTCAGTAACGAAGTCAAACGTTCTTGTTGTCGGGTTTGGCGGAATTGGAACCATCACCGCATATAATCTCGAGGCTGGTGGTCACGCAAGTGTGACTGGTGTCTTACGGTCAAACTACGAGCTCGTAAAAGAGCGTGGATTCCGGATATGGTCGTGTGACCATGGCGACATTCCTTCGTGGAGACCAAGTCAAAGTATTCATCCCGGCAGAGGTCGTAGAAGAATAATTCACTGACAGAAATGACGAAGTATCACGAACAGTCCCTAATGTCCGAGAAGAAGGAATCGCTCCATTCGATTTTATTGTGGTCTGCACCAAGAATATTCCCGACGTCCCACCCACAGTAGCTGAGATCATCGAGCCTGCTGTTACCCCAGGTCACACAGCCATTGTCCTGGTACAGAACGGCCTGAACATTGAAAAGCCCCTCATCTCCGCCTTTCCCTCCAACATTGTTATTTCAGGCATTTCGCGCATGAGTTCTGCTGAGCTCAGTCCGGGCCAGATCTTCCACCAAGACCATGACATTCTCATCATTGGAGCATTCAGAAACCCCAACCTAGAGCTGGAGAAAGAGTTGGCGGCAGCAAAAGAATTCTCTGATCTATACAATGCAAGCGGACGAGCCACAGGAGAGTATTATGAAGATGTGGCGTTCATGCGATGGCGCAAGTTGGTTTACAACGCCGCTTACAACTCACTTTGCGCAATCACCGGGATGGACACTTCTAGGCTCAGATTAGCAGAGTCGCCCGTGTCGGAACTTCTACTGCCCGTCATGATGGAGATCAAAAGCATTGCGAGAGCTGCTGGAGTGAAATTGGCACCAGATCAAGAGGATGCATCTCTGAATGGCGATGCCATCGATGCGTACTTCCGTCCCAGCATGCAGCAGGATATTGAAAAGGGCAACTTCATGGAGCTTGAAAACATTGTCGGAGAGCCACTTCGGGAGGCGCACCGCCTAGGCGTTCCGGCACCCACCTTAGGCTTTGTGTACTCGCTATTGAAGGCATTGCAGATCAAGACGAAGATACGAAAGGGCATGATTGAGTTGCCACCAATGAAGGACTATGGCGCTGGAGAAATGTTGGCGAAATTCAAGGCTTCAGCATGATAGCTCTTAATTCTATGTAGCATATCGGACCCTACAGTAGCTCTGGCTGAGTTCGAGTTGACATTATTATAATTTGACTCCAGCTACAGCTCCACTGATAACTGCCCAGCAAGATAAGATAGAAGATGGCCACTGAAAAGGGCACCAATATTGAGTGACCTCAAACCCCGCCTCCTTTTATCAATTCTGCAACGTATTTACTCCCCACTGAGGCTTGCCACTTTCTTTGCCACCCATCCAATTATCATTGTCGTATACTTTCAGAAAAGTCACTGAGCAATCTGGAAGATTCACTTGTTCAATTATAGCGTTTCGCAGAGCAAGCCTCGTCTTGTCACTCCTCAATGCGCCCAGAACAGCGGTCTCGCCGTGGGTGCAAGCAATGCCGCTCTGGCCACCACAAATGCGATGAAGCTTCGCCCATTTGTCGACGCTGCCTCATTCGCGGCTTTAGCTGTGAATACCCCCCTACTCGCATAAGATGGGGCATTGTTACTACTGTAGAATCGGCAAGTCGAAAACGGGCTCCAGCCCTGGCGCCCAAGCTCGGGCAGCTTCGATCGGAGACTGCCACGCTGGACTCGTTTATCCCAGTCCCATCTCCAGGAGAGTCGAGTTCACCAGAAAGCGTCGATCAGGACTCAATCGGGTCTCAAGCACGGTCCTCTTCCATTGACCATGCGTTGCTTCGAGGCATGTCTTCACCGATATTTGAGGGCCCAGAGGAAGTAACCGCCTACACATACTGTATGTTTTATGCCTTTCTGTCATGCATCAGCAACTCATTCTTTTCTAACATCAGATGTCGACCGGATTGCTGGAGAGCTTCAGGCACAAGATGGTCTTCATAATCCCTACAGAAAGCTCTCTGTGTTAGCCCTTGGGTTTCCGGTACTCCTTCATACCATCATTTCCATTGCTGCAGAGCATCTTCACCTTTTGGGTCACTGTTCTGCCAAGCTAGCCGTCACTCACCATGACCGTGCCATTCGGTCAATACGTCTTGGTCTTGCTGGAAGGAGATCGCCATCTCCTCTCAGTTCCGAGGACTGCAGATCCTCTTCACACGGCATCACTGCTGACCAAGCATTGCTTGCCGCCATTCTCCTCCAGCCGGCAGTTATCGCCTACAGTGGGAATGCGGCATCTTCCTCTCAAACCCACCTCGACATTGCCTTTTACATATTAAACCAGCTTGACTACATATGCACAGTCAAAGTTATGGATTTCTTCATACCAAGACTCTTGGTTCAACGATTCGCCATTGCAGACCTAGGCACTAGTATTTACTATCGTCGAAGACCTCGCATGTCTCTAGTCGGTTGTTGGTTCTCTAGTTCTAGCAAGGACGACATGATCGACAAAACTCAGCCATCGTTTCGTGAAATGACTGGCTGTCCTCATTCTGTTTTCGTATTTTTACTTCGCGTCATGCATCTTGCCGCCGATCTCTCATTATCTGAACGCCCAAGCAGAGACGTTTATTGTGACGCCATCGCTCTTGAAACTGACATGAGGGTACATGATGCCGTAGTCGTCCGAAGGTCAGGCGGGTCATCAGGTACCATGAAGAACAAGCATATGGAGACAATCTGCCGAGCATTTATACAAATTGGATTGCTACTACTATGCCGTCGGGTATTCGCCGAGTCACCTTCATCTCCACGAGTCCAGCATGCCATGTCCACGATTTTCACTCTACTAGACTCTATCCCGGTTACAACTACCGATGAGAGTTCAAATGGAAATCTTATACGCTCAGGGGTCGACTCTGCATCCGGTCTCCCATTCTATCTGGCAGCACGTGAAGCCGTCACGAAAGAGGACCAGCAATGGGTAACGCTGAAGCATAAGATGTGGCGGAAGGTCTATCCAAACCCGGCAAGGGTGCAGTTAATGGAGGTGGCGGAAAAGATATGGCTGGAACGAGACAGGGGAGTCCATGATATAGAGCAAAGATGTGAACTTGTCGAGCGCGGATGTGAAGCATATATTTTCTGAACTGCGTCAATAAAACAAAAGTACTTTACCTTAGCTACGGTACTTGTAGGAGTTGTGTTAGGGGTCCTTCTTGGGATGTGTTTCAGCCGACATTAATTTCCATGGTTTCAATCAGCCGGAGCCACCCTACTTCAATCATAATTTGGACAACCTTCTAATTAATCCTGGAGACCCCCCTTCAACTATCGCAAGACTCTCCGGCCCAATCTCGGCTATGCTCTTGCATCCAGCCAAACGCATGCAAAGCTCAAATTCATCTTTCAGGATTTGCAAGGCCCTCTCAACACCCCTTTGGCCGTCAAATGCTAAAGCCCAGATTGGTATCCTGCCAGCGAAGCACATGTCTGCTCCAAGAGCGATTGCCTTGAAGATATCGCTTCCTCTCCTTATACCACCGTCAATGCCGACTAACAGCTTGTTCCCCGGAGAGCGTGATGCGTTTATGCTCTTTGCAGCGGCCACACAATCCGGTAGTGCCTCGAGAGTGGCCGGCGCGCCATCAAGCTGTCTTCCGCCATGATTGGAGACAACAATGCCTCGCACGCGTGGGTACGCAGCAGCAAGGAACACGTCTTCGGGTGTGTATATTCCTTTCAGCCATATCTCCATGCTCGGCGGCGTCACCCCACAAAGCCAAGGAAGAAAGTCGACGAAAGAATTACTGGCGTCGCGAACCGTTTCTTTGAAGTTCTTCGGATCGTACGAAATATTGGGGAATTTGAGACCAGGAGGAAGGTCAATACCATTTCGATACCTAGCATTGAACTATCAGCATTCGGAGAATGAGGGAGGGATAAATATTTCATTACTCATTGAGCCGCCTTCCAATTGTCGGGGCGTCGACAGTCATCAAAAGAGCCTTGAAGCCGACCTTTTCAGCTCTCTTGAGCAATTCCACAGTGTATTTCTTCTGGTTTGCACTCGATGTTTGGAGGCCATATGGGTTCCCCGTACCGATTTCCTTCCCCGCGTCAATGACATCTTCTAGAGACTTAGTCGCCCAATGCGACAAACCCATGGCGATGCCTGCCTTGGCAGCAGCCCGTGAAGTACCTACTTCACCATCTGGATGTGCTATACAGTGCATGGCAGCAGGGGAGAACCCAAACGGAAATGAGATCTTAGCACCGAAAATAGTAGTGCTTGTATCGACTTCGGCAACGTTACGAAGGATCCGAGGCATTATCCGGTAGCGGTCGTATGCTGCTTCGTTTGCCTTGACAGTGACGAGATCCATGGCGCCTTCGTTGAGATATTCGGCCCATTTCCTATCGATCTTGGCTGTTGCAGCCTCGCGAATATCGCGGATGGTGAAAGCCTGGGGCTGCGACATGTTCATCAATCTAAAATAGTGACAAGCAACAGATCTAAGAATTGTATGTCACTTGCTATGGCATGTTTGTAAGAGTTTATTGGCTCTGGGTGTCAATGAGGCGAGCTTTTGAAGCTCTCGCATCTAATGGAGAGCTATCTTTCGGAGCTACCCCTGTCGCGACAAACAAAGACTGCGGTATCGGTGAGATCGCATCCAAACGCCTGCGTCGGTATCTTATCTACAATTTCGGCTTCCTCCACTTTGTAGCTTTACTAGGTCGACGACGGAATCCTGTTGCCGGCCTAAGCAATCCTGCATAGATATACCCCTTACCAGCATCCTAGCCGTGGCTAGCCATTAGAGCGAAGGACCTATCGGATGTTCTCTATATGATTTTATCCTTGTGACGCTGCTGCTCACGTCCCATCCCTATGCCCCACAATTGAGTGCGGTTCGTAGCGCCTAACCAGATCAGGGGTGGTTTAGACTACGCATACCCATTTGGGCAGTTGATCAACAAGCGAACGCTACAACACAGGCCCACAACGCTTATCAAAAGCTCCCAGACGATACTTCCGTCGATTTCTATGCTGAAAGATGGACTGGAATACGACAAGAATTTGCGAGTGTGTTCTGCTATGATAATGACTGATATCATATTGCTCAAAGGCAATCACCGCCGATGTTGAAGCTTGATGATAAACAACAATAAGTGGATCAACCGGGCTACGTTATCATCTTATCAATGTGCGATGCTGAACCCCATGTTTGGGTATAGTACGGTGATGCAGATAAAGACTTCGGATGATTGTATAAAGACAATGCCGTACGCCCTCTAGTATGATGTACAGGCATCCCCAATTCAATACCTCGACTTGCTCAAAGTCCACGTATTTATCATATTCCACAAATTTGCAAACTTCAATGGACACCACCAAGCAGGATCCCTTAGTAGGTGATGAGCCAATTGAGGTTCATAGAACAGGTTCGACACCACCTACTGATTATGATGTTGAAGCCGCCGGCCTTCGTACAGCCATCGCAGGATATGTTCCAGGCTCAAAAGCTGAAAAGCTTCTGGTGCGGAAGATAGACTTGTTCATGATTCCCACTCTATGGTTCATGTGTGTTCTAGCCTATGTGGACCGTAACAACATTGGTAATGCAAAAGCTGCTGGGATGAGCAAAGACCTGGGTTTAAACGACTCAAGTATGTGGTTTGTTCTTCACAGCTTCATGATCGTTCGCATCAGATTTCAGCTTTATAACAAACAATCTTTCAGACTATTCGATGTTGATTTCGATTTTCTTCATCGGTTATCTGGTATATGAAATTCCATCCAATCTCATTCTCGCTCGATGCGCACCTTCGTGGTACCTGCCCGGCCTTATGATAGCCTGGGGTACACTAGTATCTGGCATGTCTCAGGTGAAGGACTATCACGGTATACTCGTCTGTCGGTTCTTTCTTGGAATGATCGAAGCAGGATTCATGCCTGGTGTTATGTTCATCATGTCGTGCTGGTATAAGAAAGATGAAATTGGTAAGCGGCATATAGTTCACAATAGCTCCCTTGGAAGATTTGAATATTGACTTAGCCAGGAAAACGATTTTCGATTTTCTTCTCTGCTCTTTGTATAGCAGGTGCAGTGAGTGGACTGCTCTCTGGTGCGATTATATCGGGGCTAGAAGGTGCCCGGGGTATGGAAGGCTGGCGATGGCTGTTTCTCCTCGAAGGAGTCATCACAGTTGGCTTTGCAGTCATGTGCAAATTTATTCTCCTGGACTATCCAGCCACAACTCGTCGATTGAGCGAAGAGGAGCGTCAGCTAGCAACAGTGCGCATTTTGCAAGATAAGCAAGCTACAACTTCACATGCAACGAGGAAGTTGAAGCCATGGGACGCGTTTATTGCGGCTATTGTTGACCTCAGGACGTATTTCTTCATGGCCATGTATCTTCTTGACAACGGATGCGCCACAATCAACTACTTCGTCCCAACTGTCCTCAGCGATATGGGCTATGGTGGAGTCATGGCTCAGTGGATGACAGTCCCTGTGTGGTGAGTATTCTTCAACTGATGCATGTAACTACTCGAGAAGCTAACTCTGTTGCAGGATCGTCGGAACAATCTTTCTCGTTCTTGTGCCCCAGTCTTCGGATCGATTCCAGGATCGCAGATGGCACGTAGTTGGTGCCTTCGTTCTTGCTTTTGTGTCGGGCATTATCATTGTGACTGTCAATGGCACCGCAGCTCGATACACTTTCATCTGCTTTTACATCTCGGGTGTGTACGCGGCATTCCCGTTAATCCTAACATGGGCATCGGAAACCATGTCTCTGCCTGTTGAGAAGCGAGCCGTTGCCATTGCTGCGGTAAATGCAGTAGGAAATTTGGCAGCCGTTTATGGCAGCTACATGTGGCCATCGAGGGACGCACCAGATTACAAGCCTGGATTTACGGCCATGGTGGGAATGTGTGGTGGTGCGGCACTACTTGCAGCCATGATGCCGATTCTGTTCAAGTTCTTGCCAAAGTTCAGGACGAAAGCCGAGAAAGAGCTGGAAACCATCGATGGGCATGTGGAGTAGATAGCCCAAGTTTCCGCGTGAAGCTTCTATGAACCCCTAACATCTAATGTCTACATATAATAGCTCCCTCTGGTTTAGTTATACGTTAATCGTACTAAGTCTATTTCCCACTACTTAACCGTTGTTTCCGCTGCTACTCAAGCTCAAATCCCAAGTTACGTCGTTAGTCTTGATGAAATAACTCAGCAAAGCTATATGATGAAGACTTCAAAGTAAATTGAATAGAAGGTAGATAAAACAGCAGGCCGGCTCATGATAACGGCTCTAACAGAGCCGTTAGATATACCTATCATAGATAATATTCAACGTGAACGTTTAAGAAGTATCTCAGCCAAGATGACACTGATCTAAAATATTATCTAACGAGTGTAAACCGATAACTGCACTTCTACTCTTCATTACATTACTCTAGGCTCAGCGGCCCTGTGCTCTTGTCTCGATATTGCAAAAAAGCTGGTCTAAGATGTGCTTTGAAACTTTTAAGTATTTACTCCGGTTAGCTTCCTACAGGTCAATGATAACAATAGATGTTACATAACTACAATCTTTAAGTTTGGTAATATAGATGTCCATCGCCGTTGCCTCTGCTGTTTCCATATACTTGGCAATGATTCCAATCCTCTGAGAACATTCGCATAACCTGTCTCTTCCCATATTCTTCTTAATATAGCAGAGAAAAATACTCTATTTTCGTCTTCTTGAGTCTCTGCAGCAGCTACAAACGCCGGCCACACAAGGGTATGTGCTCCTGGTGCTTGTTGATCTACGCATTGAAATAGATATCTGATATGCATGATCTTTTCCAGCATTTGTTGCTCATCAACAGGAATCATCGAGGATCGCGCTCGGAGCAGGTAGATCTCCGTCGCATACCGCATGATCTCGACATAGAGTTGGGTTTGAGTAAATATTACGGCTGGGCTGGGCGACGAGTCGTTGGTAACCGAAAGTTGATATTCGTGACGACGCCGGGGGGCATATTGTTCAAAACTCGTAAGAGGATCTTGTAGAACTTGGGAGAAATCTTCGATAGCTTCAGACTCGCTTAGCATGGGATATGTGAAGAACGAGATACTATATAGTTGTTAGTACTTGCTGCAACTGGAAATGGGGCAAAAGGCCAACGCACAGTCGAGATTGATAATAAAGAAACTCGGCCAATGGCGACGTGAGCTGGGCTTGTCCCCTTACTCCTAGAAAGGCGATCAACATCTTATAGAGCGTGACAATATGCTCATGGCCCGTTACGAGGTCAGCTACAATGAGGAGGATAATGGTCGCCCAAGTAGAGTCATCTAGATAATCTCGTTGACATGCAGTCCGAGACATCTTACTAACGATGGCGGCTCTGCCGCTCTCAGCAGGAATCCGTAGCTCGGGCATTCTTTGTGATAAGTGAAAGGCTGCCGCAATGCATACCGCCCTCCCCACAACTGGATTGCAATGGGCCAAAGGTAGAATCTCGTGGCGATATCCGTTCGCTTCATCGTCGTACATGATCATGACTGGCGACACATAAACGTTGACTGCATCTTGTTAGTCAAGTATCTGCCAAGAATAAGCTATTGTCTTACAATGATCGAAAAGAAAACGCATCTTTGGATCAAGAGGGGCAAGAAGGGGGGGCAATGTGGTCGTAAGGAGCGTGTTGTTCAATAAGATTGAATCCATATCGTTAGTCGGGTTGATATGTCGAGAAATATCATCTGGACGATCTGGAGGTGGGGAGGATATATAAGCTGAACCTTCACATGTAGATTGTAGCACCGTAGATCCAATTTTTGCGTCATATTGCAGTCTTGAGCCGGGTCTCACTATCCCTGGACCGGACTTTGGTTCTTGATTTTCAACAAGCTCCCTGCGCTTGCTACCTTTCTTGTTTTTGGAATGCCTCACATCGATCCATCTCAGTGCATTCCCTCGTCTGTTGGAGCTGGATGTCTCGATATTGCTGAGTGTTGAAAAAGGAGCCGTTTTCACGTCCGAAAACCGGTATCGAACGCCATATCCAGGACACTTCAACCCCTTCTTCAAGCATTTTTGACATTGTAGTGGTGTTTCGTCGCAGACTATGCGCCGTTTCATGCAGTTATAGCACGCTACGATTAAGGGTACCCGTTAGTCAGTGTGATAGTTCAGCAAGTTGACGGCCATGACTTGAAATCGAAGCACCAGCTATGTGACATCATCACTAGAGCGACCATTTTGCAAACAACACCTACAATTCTTTCGCTTTTCAGAAGACATCCTGCAGCACATCCCGCGGGCGTTTTCATCGGCGATGTTCTGGTAACATGACACTAGGTTTCGTCGGGTTTGATAAGGTTGAGAATGGGAAGAACGATGATGTTGCGTAACGGGAAATCTCTACGCACGTGCCATATTCGCCTGCAATAGAATGTGGGGCGAGCTTTCTCAGGGCTCCACCCATCCACAGACCAGAAGTGGACACTGGAGTCGACTAGGTACTCATCTGGCACGGTCGACAAGGGGGTCAAAATTGCAGTTTGGCGAGTTCTTGAACAACTCCAGCCATTCATCATGATTTCAGAAAAGAGGAAACCATTTATTCACAAATCAGGCCATACTACCTTTGAAACAGGGCAGCAGTGCCTACTGCTGACCAACACCCACTCAAGATATCATATAGCACACACACAAAAAGGAGCCCCTAGGGCAAAAAGAATATATTAGAATGAAGGGGTAGCCATTCTTGTATTCTATATAATGATAGCTAAATAAAGCGAGTAAAAATAGAGTAAGTAATAGCAAATAAGTCATCTGACTGCTAGCAGGGGTAAGACCATGCTCTCCTAATTCACTATCACCTTTGCCAGTCTGTTCTATATCCTACAAGTTAGCAGTGACTCTTGCCATTGCAGCAGCCTTCAGATTATCTGACACCTCCTTGGCAACTCTCTGTCCATCTTCGATACCACCATCTAAGAACCCTCTCCAACCCATTGCCCAGTCTGCACTTCCAAACCAAATATTCCCTTGTTTTTCTCTCAAGGCATCAAGGTATTTAGTGACCTGAATAGGCTTGAACCATTCCCAGGCACCCATCGCGAACTCGTCTTTGTGCCAATTATGAAAGACCATCCGCTTGATGTCACTGTTGTTAGTGTTTGGTAATAGGTCCGTCCAAGCTTTCAATGTTTCTTCAGCGTTCTCCTCTGGTTGAAGATGCACTTCTTGACGAAGAGATGACCCAAAGGCTACCAAATGAACATTGCCAGCTGGCGTGAATCCATCGCCGAATGAATACGTTAATTTGCCGTCGGGATAATTGAAAGACCCCAGACTTCTTAATTCGGGCTTATTGACCTCAACATGGCATTTCACGACATGGTTTGCATGCCCTTGCTTTGAGCACTCAGTCTTAAGAGGGTTGATGGCCGGGGTGAAATGAATATTGTGCAAGACATTCAAGGGAATCGTACAGATCACCCTTCTTGCCTTGAACACCTTGCCATCGCGGGATATAATCTCCACGAAGTTGCCATTGTCATTGACGCTCTTGACCGGAGTGGAGAAGCTGTAATCCAGAGAACCAGAACCATAGGCCTCATCGAAGAGACATCGCTGAAGCTTAGACTGCCCGCACCTCAACTTGTACGTGAGACCCATTTCCATAAAGTCCTTGTAATCCCAATTTGCCAGCGCCCACCATCGTAGCATTTCGAAAAATGAACTGTCTTCCCACTTGCCGCCACAAGTTATGCTCAAGAATCCCTCAAGCATGTTCTTTTCCAGTGGCGTTAGCTGGTCAGCAATTTGAGTAAATCGATCTGCAATGCTCATCTGATCGTATATTGCAACGGCTTCCTCATTTCGCAATGCGTCATGAGGCCAAGGAATAACAGTACGACCATATTTCCCATCGACATTAACGAACTTCTTCAGTGCAGCTTCAGAAATGCAGTCTTCTTCTTCATGGCTGATCATGATCTTTCGTTGTGGTGTGAGCTGCACGGCACACTTGTTCAGCCCACCTTCTGTCACCATGCTGACTTCGAGATTGGACAGCAGGTTGTATCGAAACAGTTCACGCCAGATGAATGGCTGCGTCCAATGCACCCAAGTACCGCCCATCTCATATGGATAGCCATCGATGTTTGATGACCAGGAGCGTCCGCCGATCCGATCGCGTGCCTCTATGAGGATAGTCTTGTAGCCGGTTATTGTGAGATCGCGAGCAGCTGTTAGACCAGTATAGCCGGCACCCACTACTGCAACGTCGTAGATAGTCTGATGTGATATGCTTATTTGGGGTCGGATGGTTCCCAAGCACGGAAGACCAGCTTTTAGGCCACTTTCTGCCGTCCATTGGAAGCCGTCACGACTGGTCATGCCGGAAGTGTCAGACATCATCAGCTATGGTGTGCATAGAAAAGTAGGTGTGGATAGTAGTTGAGACTTGACACGAATCACACGATCAGTGGTCAGAAGTAATGCAAAGTGTTGGATGGCTGGATATTCATATTCGCAGTGATATCAAGGAAATCGCAAGATTTATCTTTGATCTGGACCTGGAGTCAATAATTCGGATTCTCACAATTGTGGCCAATTTGGGAAACTGCGAAGCAAAAGTCTTGTCATAGGTAAAGACATCTAAATGATTAGGGTGCATATATAGCCACTTTCTCACTTTGGTTTCCTATTTAGGAAATATCTGCTAGACGTGAACGTTAGGTGCGTATCATCAGGCACAGAACCATACCATACCAATTTGGGTTGATCTAGCGGGTAGGATTGGTCTGTGCATCATTTCTCACTTTCCTTACCCGATTAGGAAAACGCGATCTTGAAAATCGCTATCAACCAATTCCATCTCATAGTCATCTGTGATTGGCCATCCAGTAAAGGATACTCTTCAAGAGTGTCAATTTTTATCTTAGCCTGGATAACACCCCTGAAGGACGCTGGGGAAGCCCGGGAGAGCTATTCGCATTGAATCTATTCCCAATACCGCCGATCCTCCCTCACCGATGAAGAGATAAGATCTCGTAGATTGTTGGTTCAAGATAAGGCAGATCAATCCCTGAAACAATCTTTATCTCTTCTGAAGCACGATATTGGGTTATTTATCCACAACACAAATGTTTATATAAAGCGGAGCACTAACCTATTTAACAGGAACTTTCATTCCAACCCGTTCCTTGGGCTACACTGAGCTAGACAGTACATATTTCGCTCAAGTCCTCATATACTAATTTGATAATGTTTCCAAAGAGAAACTCGTATAACGTGGCATCGGAAATGCCGTCTAACACGAACAAGTGCGAAGACTACGAGTTAGGAAGTCTTGAAAGAAGTACGTAAGAGGATCCACTTGTTACAGCGAGGCATGACCGCCGATTCATCATGGCCTTTTGTATGACTAACAGCATTCTGCGAACTATCTAGATATTTCTAACCGAGTCGGCTCCATAGAAAATGATACCCTCTCTCGTCTCGGCATACACACACAAACATCTCGAGACCTAGGACTTCTCGCAATAATTGCCACGGGATGGAATATATGCAATAGTTGGGCCGCCGTCGCCGCAACTATGGCTATCTCCATTGCGTCGGGGGGATCTGTCACGCTGATATATGGCATTATGATAATATTTCTTCTTGGAGGATCATGTGCGTTAAGCATGGCTGAGATTGCCTCTGTGTATCCTACAGCCGGAGGACAATATCACTGGACAAGCATATTGGCCCCAGAGTCTATCAGCAGGTCCCTTGTATGTGTCACCTCTCCTATAGCCTTGCAGCACGCACTTTTGAATGACTATTAGTTGACTTTTTTGCCGCTTAGAGCTATTGGTGCGGAATGTGTAACGTCTTCGGCTGGATCGCCAGTGCAGCTGGTTTTATAATTCCATTCCCTGCTATGATTCTGACACTGGCAACATTCTGGCATCCGACTTATGCTCCCGAGCCATGGCATGTATTTATGATTTACCAGGCTTTGAATTTTATCTTCACAGGCTATAACATCTTCTTGGCGAAGAGTAAAGGTCATGGCTTGTTACAAGACTTTGGATGTAGTTATTTCCCACCAGCCTCTCCAGCTTGCATCAGTAACTAATGAGTATTGGCGTACAGTCTTTCTATCGCTCACAGCCTTTTTGGCTATTACAATCGTTTGCCTCGCCGAATCATCTCCCAAACAGTCGTCCGAGTTTGTATGGACGACGTTCTCAAATGCATCAGGCTGGTCCGCAGACAGCATCGCTTTCCTTACCGGACTGGTCAACCCGAACTTCATTTATTCCGGCCTCGACGGTGCTATTCATCTGGCAGAGGAATGCACGAATGCAGCCACTGCAGTTCCACGAGCACTTGTGTCAACAGTCGTCATTGGATTCGTGACTGCTCTTGGCTTTGCGGTTGCCATGACCTATAGCTATTCTGACTTTGATGCTGTGTTGGCTTCTCCTTTTCCCATCCTCGAAATTTGGTACCAAGCTACTTCGTCCAAGGGCGTGGCATCACTCTTCTTGATTACCCTAGCATTATGTTCATGCTTTGCAATCACTGGGGCCCTTCAAACAGCATCTAGGTTGACATGGTGCTTTGCCCGGGATAATGCTGTCGTAGGGTCATCCATCCTCAGCCGGGTACATCCTAGATGGGGTGTTCCTATCTGGGCGCTGCTCATTAACTCAGCTATGGTTTCAATTCTTGGTTGCATCTATCTTGGCTCATCAACAGCGTTTAACTCTTTGGTTAGCACTGGATTGATTCTTCAGCAGCTGAGCTTCGCTTTTCCGGCTGTGCTAATGCTTCATTTGCGATGGGTGGGCGGTGCCAAGCTCGAGGAGAAGGTTCCGTCTTCCCGAGGCTTCAAGCTGCCAGCAGGCACCGGCGTACTAGCCAATATCTTTAGTGTAATATTGGCTCTGCTGGCTCTCATCTTTTACGACTTCCCTGTCATTCTACCTGTCACTGTGAATAATATGAGTGAGTTATACTCGTTATCTCCATCCATCGATTTGGTGATCTTTTACTGATGGGAATTCAGACTACGCTTGTGCAGTTATTGGTGCTCTGGGGCTGATGTCACTTGGAAACTGGTTCTTGTACGCTTCAAAGCATTATCAAGGTCCGCGGTTGCTAAGGGAAGATTGAAATAGGCTGATGTCTTGCTGTCTATCCTTGTAGCTTTCCCTGCACACTCGGACCAGAAGTGTGCATCCATAGAACCTACCCATGTATAGGATGAACAGAAACACCTGACAAATCTTTCACGTGCTGAAAGAGCTTGATACAATCCATTACCCAAAATATCTATTATCCACCTGTACCAATTTCAAGACGTTATACAACACAATGACTTATAAAGTCACCTTTAGCCTGTGTTACCTTGACTGTGCTTTGCAAGTGTTTGGCAGCTTGCTGAGAGTCACTGATATTACGCGAACACGATGCAAACATTGAGTGTAACTGTAACATGTACAATCTTATCTAACTAGGTCTAACCCAGTTGGGTCCAAGTCCGTGTTGTCTTCTGCCCCGCAGATAACGCAACCCGATGGATTGATAGATTGCAAGCCTGGTTTGTGTGGTGTACTCGAATTCTCATCACTGACATTACAACCGAATTCTTTGTCTGACTTAAACTCATTCAGAAGCAAAAGATGACTCTTATTTCTGAATTGCTGCAGTCACGATATGGGGCGACATCTTCAGCACCTGGTATTGCGAATCCGACGCTAGCAACGCTGTTGGAACATAAATCCGTGCGGCAATTCTTACCTGACATCCTCCCACATGGCACTCTCGAGCTTATTGTCGCGGCGGCCCAGAGCGCTCCTACATCATCTAATCTCCAAACATGGAGCGTTGTTGCATTGGAGGAATCCGGCCTCAAAGCCGAGGCGGCTACACTTTGTGGCGACCAAGACTTTATTCGCCAGGCACCACTGTTCCTGATCTTTTGTGCTGACTTGAGCCGCTTGACCAAGGTTTCTGAGCAGCATCAAACACAAGGGGAAGGCCTGGAATTCACTGAGATGTTTCTAATGGCCTCACTCGATGCTGCATTTGCCGCGCAGAACGCCGTCGTTGGCGCCGAGTCTTTGGGATTAGGAACATGCTATGTTGGCGCTGCTCGTAATAATTCCCGAGAGATGGCAAGCCTCCTGCATCTGCCACCGCGCGTGCTGGCACTGTTTGGCCTGGCTATTGGGAAACCAAATCCGACAAAGCCTGCTTCTATCAAGCCTCGGCTCTCCCAAGATGAAGTGTTGCATCGATCGAGATGGAATAACGATACTCAGAAGGACAATCTTGCAGCATACGATAAGACACTCGCCGACTTCAATGCTCAGGAACAACGAAAAGATCTTCCGTTGTGGACGTATCGCTCAGCTCATCGCGTGGAATCGATTGCGTCTTTACATGGACGTCATGTTTTGCACGAAGTGTTACAAGAGCGTGGCTTTAATCTACGTTAATATTTAGAGGACCGAATAGATTACAAAAAGATCTAAGTTATACCATTCATCAAGAGAAGATATTAGATATATAGTCAGCCGAGTCTATGTTGCATTTCATCTTTGCCAATCAATAGCTCTAGCATTTACAGAGATAAAATTGTAGAATCAGCTTTATTCAATTCATCATCAGCCCGTTTCTGAAACTTTCACTAAGATATAATTTTGTACTGCATGGCGAAATCGAAGGCACCGTTTCTAATTTTAACTCTAGAGAGCCACATACTCGGTGGCTAATTACCAATATCAATGTTGTCTAGATTTGCGCAAGACCACCGTCGACGGCGACCTCGCTAGCTGTCATAAAGCTGCTGTCATGCGACGCGAGAAAAGCAGCCACCGCCCCGATTTCCCCCGGATCAGCCATGCGCTGGAGTGGATTCTGCATGGCAAAGACTTTCTGGCCCTCTTCGCCTAGGGCTTCCTTCGCGAGTTCGGTCGCCGTCGGCCCGGGCGATAGCACGTTTACTCGAATGCCGGTGCCTTTCAGGTCCTCCGCCCAGGTCCGCGCAAGGTTGCGCACAGCGGCCTTGCTTGAGCCATAGAGGCTAAATGCCGGGGCACCCGTGGTGCCAGCGCTTGATCCGGTCAGGATGATCGAACCGCCCTTGCCCATCAATGGCAGTGCCTTCTGGACCGTAAAAACCGAACCCTTCACATTGGTGTCAAGGATTTCGTCACAGTGCTCCATGGTGATCTTCCCAAGAGGAAGTTGGCTTCCCGCGCCGGCGTTTGCGAAGACGATGTCGAGAGTTCCGCGCTCGGCTTTTACCGCTGCATAGAGACGGTCAAGGTCCGCCAGGTTGGAAACTGAACCCTTTACCGCTCGGGCATTTGGCCCAAGGTTAACTAAAGCCTTGTCGAGTGCTTCTTGTCGGCGACTAAAGATAAAGACAAATGCACCCTCCTGGATGAAGCGCGTCGCCGTTGCGAGACCGATGCCGGTAGCGCCGCCGGTGATCACGGCAGTCTTGCCATTTAGTCTAGTCATTTTATGTATGATTTTTTTTCGAGTTGCGTGAAAGTTACGAAAAGGTTTACTTTAGCAAAAGTATGCACATCAAGTGCCTGTAGAGATCGATGGCTTTAAGAGCCTTTGAGCTTTATAGTTATCGCTGCTTCGATGCATTTGATTGATGCCAAATTATAACACCACGGATAGAACTGTCGCCGCTCCGAGTTAGGCATTTAAATGTGATATTACTTATCTTGAGCAAAGGCATCTGTCATACGCATCTGCTCATTTACATATCAGACGAAGGGTTTGTTAGATACCTTTGAATGCTCCGCTCCGGACAAGTATCATAACTTCTGATTATAAAGCTACCGGAGCGGAGCACCACACGTTGCCGGGCCGGAGCGGAGTAGAGCACCTAAAGGTAGCATCAATTCTTCTGGCCTTCACGGTCGCCCATCTTCTGCTCGATTATAGCCTTTTCAAATCCCTTCTCCTTTGCGCGAAATATATTCTTCGATAGTGAGCAAATATTTCACTTTTCTAGACGGCAACGGAACCAAAGAAATGCGTGGAGCACCACGCCAAACTTGAAACAATGGTTTACAATCATATACGGCCAACAGAGTCACTAAACTAACGACACAAAGCTTGAAATATATACTTATCTATGACATATCAGTCTATACTCATACGTATATTGCTCAACAAACACATACGTAGCGTCAAGCACAACATAAATGAATTGAGAAAGATAATCAGTTCTGAGATATCGACCAATACTTAGGCTAGTAGACTCTGATGTATTGAACACGCAGTCCCAGGCTTAGGAGTTAGGAAAGGCCAAACCACACTCTTCATGGTCTTTCACACAGATCAGATCATCACGACCATGCCATAACCAATCGCCACTTGTATAGCACAGGATCGGTTCCATAATCTCAAGTCGAGCATCTACCTCTGATCTCCTATGAAGAAACAATATGAATGTGCAAGGGAAAGGGAAGAAGATGATAATCTTGACGTTGAGATACTCGAAGCTTTTTCCGATGTGGGCATTCTCACACATATACACGAGCCCGAAGATGACGTGACATCATACATGCATGTCTTTGATGCGTTGAAGGCCTTCGAGGACTATAATTAAAACCGTTCTCGTCTTTAAAGAATAGTTAGGGCCAATGTTCACATGAGGAGATTGCCGAGGGATCAATACAGTAGCGAGGCCGAACATGCTTTCTGGGCCCTACCAGGGGTTGGACTGGCTGGTAGAACTTTCAAAGACGAGACATGGGAGGCTGTCTGAAGTTTCCAAAACACGAATAGCACAACTTACATCTCTCATGCTCGGAACTCTATACAGCCGTGGTGCACCTTTAAATTATCAACCACCCAAACACTTATGCGGATAAGGATAGCAAGGGCAGGCGGCACAAGACGTTGCAGGGAGAAACTGAACGACAACATGCAATTCCCGATTGCAGCGTGGCTGTTTTCATCGCCTATTTCCCGACTTGGATCAAGTTTTACAAGCTTCATCGCCTAGGGGGTCACATCTACCCCTTTGACTTGATTACTGCTCTCGACAAGAGAAACGCGAATGCAAACGGAGATCACAAGGTTGATGAGAGTCCTGACAAGGAGAAGGAGCTTATGAATGGACTGAAAGAACTCAGGAAACTGGCCGAATCGCCATCCATGTTTCCGTCGCCTCCTGTGCTCTTGCTAGATCACATGACCTCCTCCAACTCCACCCGCCTTACCTTAGCTGTCCTCTCCATCACACCCACCTACCGAAAGAATACAACACACTTTTGCCCCACTACTCAAGGTAAACAGGCTATTTCATCTTTATACCTTGGTACTGCGGCCCTTGTGTGCCTTGTGTATTCGTTTCCGTGGGACTCGGTAGTCCGTTCTATTACTAAAGAATTTACGCTGAGTGTAGTGCATCATTATTTGGATCCGAGTTCAATCTGAGAAATCATCTTGTCAGACATAGCTATAAGGGTATCAGACGACGGTTCCGAAATATATGGACTATATTCAATTTTCGTGAGTTGAGAGCCTGAATTTTCTCCCATCAATATGTCTGATATGTCATTGGTCAGCGAAGAAGTCGATGAAAATGTTTGCAACCCCCAAAGCGCAGAGCTGTGAACCACAAGAGTTGCACGACAAGCTTGAAGTCGACGAACACACCTGCGTCCAGCATACTGGTGGAAGAGTCAATCTGTTGCAGGTACCTCGCAAAATTGGATGGAGCGCTCATCTGCCGGGAAAAGAAATGGACTTCTATGCTCGCAGCACGGAGCCCACGACGTGCCTGACTTCGATTTCACAGAGAACTCGACCCCTTTATATGTGAGGGACCATCGTAAAGATTTGACCAAGGCTTTGGAGCTCTTAGCCCGCAACTCCTTCGTGGAATCAAATAAGGATGGCCTTCGCCTTGCACTCGGGGCCCCATTAAGCTGAAAGGGCTTGGCCTCGAGACTCAGCAACTTCATAGTCGCGGTGGGACTGTTGCGACAACAGTTGAATGTCGAGTACTCACTAAAAGGAAAGCTTCTAAATCTTTTCAAAAAATACGGCTTCGACCACTTCGACGGCGACTGAATTGGTATGACGGACCGTAGAGCGCGTACGAGCATATAATTGGGTAATGGAAAGTTCATTGAACTATATAGAACGTATAAAGGAGAATTAGGGTGCTCTCATACCATATATATACTGAATTGACCTCTGTCAGAGGCTAGGGAGCTTACCATTAGGCTTAGTAGGGCTCTCTTTTGTTATATACCCTCTAGGCGGGCGGCTTTAGCCGCTTGCCTATCTATAAGTAAGCTTTAGGTGAAGCTTTGTAAGCTTAGGGGCCGTTTTTTGGTAATCTTTTAGGGTTATCATATGATTATATATGATTTAAGGGCCTAATATATATAAATACCCTTATTTTTCGAGCAATTCTATATAATTTTCTCCTTTAGATACCCTCATTCTATAAGCTCTTCTTATAGCTATATACTTATATATATAACCTTAAAGAGCTTATAAAGCTAATATAAGTAGGAGATTATCATTCATAATAGCCTATACTAAACAGACTATATTCGTATATAAAGCGTATACTACCGCTGCTTACGCTATAAGTAAATTATAAGATTTTAGGAGGATAATGCTATAAGCTTGTTAATAAGGCTAATCAAGCTTTATAGTCGTTGCTTACTATACTATCACTTCTAATTTTAGAGTTGATAATAATAAGAATAAAGATATTACTTTTGATTCGTATGCTTATACTATCGTTAGAGCTTTATTAACGATTATATAGCCTGCCCTCACTATGCTTATCTTACCTAGAAGGCTAAGTATAACGTCTCTTACCTAGGTTATATCCAGTCTATACTTACTAGAAAGAGTGATAGCTAGTGTTTTGATACTATTAGGTATAGAAAGCATTACTTTAGCTATACTTCTGGCTATTTGTATATATCTATCCCTGCCGTCGCTTAGCAAACGGCTGGTTTCTTATATGCTACTTTATAGTAAAACCCTTCAGCTTTCGACGCTATAAGTAAACTTAAAGATAAGCTTTAAGATATACTTATCTTATACTATTAATATACTTATTACTGATGACAATTATATAGGAGAAGAATCGTCTATATATTATCTTATGTATAATACTCAACAATATTCTTATAATAAAGAATAAGTAGGAGAATAAGGCCGATAAGCTTAGAAAGAAGGAGGATGATAAGAAGGAAAAGCCTAAGAATAGGCTAGACGTTGCTATACTCCTCCTATATGTCTAAGCCGTATATACGATCATTTATAATGTAATTGACGATGTTTTTGCCTTACTCTACCAGTAAGTAGTATACTCTATACTCTAGCTTTGTTTGTTTAACGTTTTTGTTTTTAATTAAATTATTATAATAAATAGAATCTATAGCTTCGCCATACTTACTATACTTTTTATTAAGCTCTCTCTTTATATTAAAATTGGGTTAATAAGCGTAAGATCTATCTTTTAGATCTGTCGATCTTAACCTTTTTTATTTGTTAGAAGCCTTTGTTTGCCTTTGACAGTGTTAGACATATAAGACGATCAGTAGAAGCTTTTGTAGACTACTCCTTTCTAAATCCTTCGCTCATCTATTTATAGTTAAGCTTATTCTATTTCCACTTACTATCTCCTCTTCTCAACTTAATATATCTTCTTAAGCTTAACGTATATACTCTACTACTGACGGCATTTGCACTATACCTTACTTAGGCTGTATGAGGAGCGTCTTAGCTGGTAAATCTGACGGCGTTTGTAAGGACGCTATCGGTCGTAGTGCTTGCTATTGGCATTATGTAAGCAGTCACCAGTATGTTATAGTGTCCGCCAATATGGTGCCTTTAGCTTACTAATTGACTATAGTAATCTAAGGAAATAACTAGGTTATAAGTATCTTTGTTTCCTTAGTCTTAATATAAGCATACTGACTATTATTAAGGTACTCATCGTCTTTATATAGTGATCTAGATTATTTTGACTATACCTTCAGTCCTACCTTTGGTAGCTCTGGCTATTACTCTAGTGTCGGCTTTAAGGCTCAATGCTAGCATAATTATAGCAATTAGCGTAGGAGGAGATAGTAATAGGGTGCCTACGGCTATTCTCACTTATTAGGCTAAGGTTAAGAGGCTTTTAAGTGCTTTAGTAGATAAATTGGTGAATTAGATTAGCTTTTCGCTTAGTAGATATTGTTTTTCTCTTTTACCTACTTTCTTTTAGCTTTGATGCTTACTATAGATTGAGAAGGGCCCTAAAATGCTTAAATTGTTGACAAGTAAGGTTCTTAGTGAGTCCGTCTATAGGTATCTAGTCTATAAGGATGTAGGTGACCTTAAATAAGCCTACTAAATGCTCTTATTTAAGCTATATATTGTGAATATCGATATAGTATAGCTTAGTAGTCAATCTTATACTTTCTTCGATCATTAAGTAGATTGTTTGCTGGTTATCATAATAGATATTCTAAAGC